TTTGTTGATCAATCTGTACAGGACACACGAGCGATGCTGACAGTGTTGTTCTTGCAGATCGGAACTCTCAATCAACACCCACAGCGTTGCTTGGGCCTCAAAGAGTTCAGCGGTCCTGAATTGACAGTGTTTCTATTATTTCTGTCCTTAATGTTTTGTTTTCCAGTTACATCTTATTCATGTCCTACTGTTTTGTGTTCCGGTTACATCTTTTTGATGTCCTACTGTTTTGTTTTCCGGTTACATCTTATTAATGTCCTACTGTTTTGTTTTCCCGTTATATCTTATTTCCATTCTTATTTTTGTTCCTGTTTTATCCATGGCCTGTCCTTCTGTTTCCCTTTCCTTTATCTTACTTCTATCCTTCATGTTTGCTTGCCTTTTATATCCTGTTCATATCCTTTTGTTTATTCACCTATATTATCAACACCTGTCACATCTGAAAACTAACCATAAGTTTATTATCCTAAAATAATTTTTTTTCTTTAAAAAAAAAACCTTTAAAAAAATGTATAAAAAATACGTACCTATTTGTTAATAAAGCTGAAAAACGTTTATTCACAGCAGAAATGTGGTTTTTGAGAGAAGGGCAAAGAATCTCATGGAAACATAGAAATAGTGAGTCAGTACTCAGTTGAAAACTGATGAGAGGGAGTTGACTAATTAACTTGTTAACGACCGGCATGATTGATGGACAGAAAGTAACAGGGAAGGCTGAAAGATAAATACCTGAGTGGCTTAGACATATTGATTGTGTTAGACAAGAACACTGACCTGATCCATGATTCTAATGATTAAATGAGATGGCAAAACATGACAGCCAATCTCTTCTTCTTCGCGTTCACTGGCTGTAAACTCCGACAAAAAGTTCTGGTTGTTCGTCCTCCTCTTGACATTATTCTTGTTCCAGAACCTAATTATTCTGTACACATCCGGTTGTACAGATCTGACTTTCTTGTATGCAGATTGTTAGTTCCTCCCCTCTCAGGCAGATGCACTCTGACTTCGAAGGAAGTCCCCAGTTATTCTACTCTTATGACATGCTTGTTTTTCCCACAATGGGGTCATGGAACTACTCGGGGAATGAAAGCCAATGATTATTGGCATGGAACAGCATGGTGGTTTGTAATTGAATTATCAGGCCTAGAACTCTTTAAAACTATTTTGCAGGTTAGCTGCCATTAGCTGCTACACACCATATAATGTAAGAAGAATATTAGCCATCTTTTCCCTAGTGGACAGTAATTTGGCTGACATGAGAAAATCACTCACAATGAGAATTATTTGGAAATAACTGTTAATAACGCCATAGTATAGTTTGTCTGCATTGTATCTACTACTTCTTCTTCTTCTGCCTTTCTATCCCCCAATGGAGCATAGGCCCTCAACCAACTCACGCCAAGTCGTTCTATCCTTAGCCATTGCATGGAGCTCTCCCCATCTTTTTAACTTCATTCTCCAGCTCTCTTCTCCATGTGTTTTTTGGCCTTCCTTTATTCCTATGCCCCTGTGGGTTCCAATGCAAAGACATTCTAGTTATGCTGTCCTCCTGTTTTCTCAGTGTGTGCCCTATCCAACGCCAGCGTCTTTTCCTCACCTCTTGGTCCACTGGAGCCTGTTTAGTTCTCTCCCAAAATTCTACATTAGTAATTCTATCATACCATTTAATTCTCTCTATTTTGCATTTCTACTACTGTTTTGGGAATATTATGTTGTTTATGCCCCAATCACTTCCATGCTGTAACTCTCGTATCATTGTCTACAAACCATAGGAACTATCTTTTTTTTTTCTAAACCCTGGTACACAAGAAATCTGAAGTACAATCACTAACCTCAGAGCTACAGAGTCACACAGAAATACCCTATGTTTCTACCAATATTTAAATGATGAGGCTGTTCACACAGAAATACCCTATGTTCCTACCAATATTTAAATGATGAGGCTGTTCACACAGAAATAACCTATGTTTCTACCAATATTTAAATGATGAGGCTGTTCACACAGAAATACCCTATGTTTCTACCAATATTTAAATGATGAGGCTGTTCACACAGAAATAACCTATGTTTCTACCAATATTTAAATGATGAGGCTGTGTTCACACAGAAATACCCTATGTTTCTACCAATATTTAAATGATGAGGCTGTTCACACAGAAATAACCTATGTTTCTACCAATATTTAAATGATGAGGCTGTTCACACAGAAATACCCTATGTTTCTACCAATATTTAAATGATGAGGCTGTTCACACAGAAATAACCTATGTTTCTACCAATATTTAAATGATGAGGCTGTTCACACAGAAATAACCTATGTTTCTACCAATATTTAAATGATGAGGCTGTTCACACAGAAATAACCTATGTTTCTACCAATATTTAAATGATGAGGCTGTTCACACAGAAAATAACCTATGTTTCTACCAATATTTAAATGATGAGGCTGTTCACACAGAAATAACCTATGTTTCTACCAATATTTAAATGATGAGGCTGTTCACACAGAAAATAACCCATGTTTCTACCCAAATATTTAAATGATGAGGCTGTTCACACAGAAATACCCTATGTTTCTACCAATATTTAAATGATGAGGCTGTTCACACAGAAATAACCTATGTTTCTACCAATATTTAAATGATGAGGCTGTTCACACAGAAATAACCTATGTTTCTACCAATATTTAAATGATGAGGCTGTTCACACAGAAATAACCTATGTTTCTACCAATATTTAAATGATGAGGCTGTTCACACAGAAATACCCTATGTTTCTACCAATATTTAAATGATGAGGCTGTTCACACAGAAATAACCTATGTTTCTACCAATATTTAAATGATGAGGCTGTTTAAAAAAAAAAAAATTAAGAATCTGTAACTACCTTAATTTTCTCTAAACAGACAACATATCAACTGACTCTGGTGCCAACACCTGTTGTAGACTGTGGTGAGATGTGTGTGATTGACAGCGATGGCAACCCTCGTAAGTTGTTTCAATTTTAAACCAGCACAGACTTACAGTGGAGAATATTTAGTAGTATCATTCACTGAAGGTTTCTCCAGTTTATTTTTTATTGCTCAGTTGTTCCAAGATAAACCATTTCTTTTCCGTAATGTCTCTTTTGATCTGTTTTCAAACCTACGTATTTTTTTTTTGGTTAAGCTCAGTTCCTTGAATTTTTAATGAGTTGAAATAACTGTTTGGGATTGAAAGTTTTACCTCTTTCTGTCCAACAGTGTTATTGTAAATTCTTTGACCCAACAGTTGATTAGTTCAGATAAAAACTTAAAGGACAGAACGAGTTAAAGTAACAAATGAATTCACAGAACATAAAGTGACTAGGAAGCTTTAAAGTTTAAAGTTTATATCCTTTATTGTACATCTGCCTGAGAGGCAAAGAACCAGCAGTCTGCATACATTTAAGCTAAATCTGTAAAACTCAAGTTCTGGATCAAGAACAAAGCCCAGAACTTTCTGCTGGAGTTTGCGGCTGGTGAATGCAAAGAAGATGATTTTTACGATCTGACTTGCAGTCACCCCTATTTTCGTCACTTATGAAGTGACACGTGTTTGCTACTGAAGGACCTCAGAAATAAATAATAGTTCAGTTATCTCTCTTGGTAATAGCATTCAGCAGAAATGAAGGGACACAGAATAGATGAAACCACATTTGATGGTGATCGAGGACCAGGGCTCGTACTGATCAAGACCTGCCACCATGTCACCATTCATTCACTCGTTCATTTATTAGTTTAGGTTTAAATTTAGCAGCATCATGGCTCAAGGGTAAGTAACCCATAAGTGTTTCGATCTAATTCTGACTCAAGCCTAAGTCTGAAGAATCTCAGCACAGTGCACAAACTCTGTAGCACCAGCGAGGATCCTGAAATACTTTGGGTGGATTTGTAACTCATGCTGATCAAGACCTGCCGACACCTCACCATGTTTCATTCACTCATTCATTTATTAGTTTAGGTTTAGATTTAGACAATGGATCAGCATCAAGGCACAAGGGTTAGTAACCCGTAAGTGTTTCGTTTTAATTCTGACTCAAGCCTAAGTCTGAAGAATCTCAGCACAGTGCACAAACTCTGTAGCACCAGTGAGGATCCTGAAATACTTTGAGTAAATTTTAACTTCAAATTTGGCCCGGAAGCACCGTTAGGCTACTGATTTTGATTTCCAGTTGCTAAGGGATTTTTGTACGTGTGCAGCAGTACACACGGGCATCCAATCTTACTACCCAGAGACCAGGGTAAATTACTAGAAGTCTGTGTGAAAAAAATCGAAGCCTTCACCAGGGCCTGAACCCAGGACCTCCAGCTCTTGAGGCAGACGTCATGCTTCAAGACCATGCAGCCCCTTTTATTTATTGTCTTGTTGGGCCATTATATGACACATAGGGCTTGCAGTCTGTTCCTCCATTCCAGTCTGTCCTTTGTAATCAGCTTGTATCATGGTTGAGATCCAGTCCAGCACCTTTGGCCTCTCTCATAAGCGTTAATTTTAGGATTTCTTTTGTGTGTCCTAGTTACTTCAGTTCATGTATTTCCCGATTTTTGTGCCTGTCTGGTGATTCTGTGCTCATTTTTTTTCTCAATATGCATCCAAAATAGCACCATCTTTGTCTTATAACTGTTGTTACCAGTGGTTGCCAAGACATTTCTCTTATTTCTTCACCTCTCTACCTCTTCATGGTGATCTTAGAAACAGGTTCCAGTTCGGGGCCTGGTCAATGTAGACAGGATCATAGTTTCGCTAAAAAGTTGGAGTGCATGTGCCCTAGAGGAAGGGAAACCACAATTTGCACAAAGATATGACAGATCTATAGAGTGGATGTGCATGTGACATTTGTGTCCTGAAATGTGGCCAATCTCTCAAAGTGGATGAACAACCAGGACTTCCTGCTGGAGTTTATAGCTAGTGAGGACAAAGAAGAAGAACATACAGTTTTGTGTATGAAAAATCATGATTTCCAATTAAATGTATTTGCAGAATACTGCAAACCTGGACAGTTTGTTGGAGACAATAGTTGTGAACCTTGTGCCAAGGGAAGCTACTCTACATTCCCTATCAGTAAAACCTGCATAGCCTGCCCTGAGGGACAGAGTACAAAAGAGACTGGGGCAGATAGTGTAAATCTGTGTGATGGTGAGCATTGGTGTTTATTTGTTGAGTTCTTACATCATTTTTTGTAAGTAATGTGAAGTAAAGGATACTTTTTATGCTGTTTTTTGAATTTGTATCTTTTGATGCTAGGCTGACATTTTTATAGACCACTCAGCTCTTGGGACCGTGGTAGTTAACATCATGCCTGCCATTTATTTTGCCAATTTATGTCACAGATATTCATTCATTGTCCTGTTTTGCCATTTTATGTCACAAATATTCATTCATTGTCCTGTTTTGCCATTATAGTCACAGATATTCATTCATTGTCCTGTTTTGCCATTTTATGTCACACATATTCTTCATGTCCCATTGTAGCTGATTTTTTATGTCACAGATATTAGTGAATTGACCTGGTATGTAATTTAACATCACAGAGCATGGCAAACTACTGCATGTATTTTACCATTTAAAATCACAACAGCAAAACTTGAATGCTGGGGTTGGTTCTGCAATGTCATATAAATATTCATTTTTGTCGAATTTTTGCCATTAGTCATTGGAATTAATTCATTGCCCTGTTTTTGATACTAAGTCATCAGAAAGCTACTTCATTGTCCTTTTTTGCTAGTTAAATGTCATAAAAACCCATTCATTGTCCTGTTGTGCCATTTTCTGTAATGATTTCATTCATTGCCCTATGCACGTAATTTATGAAATTCACAGGTTTATTCATTCAAAGCCATGCTAGTGTGCAAACCATCAAGTCTACAAATATTCATTCATTGTCGAAGCTTTGTGCCTTCTAAAACAGGATACTAATTCACGGCCCTGTTTTGAGTCACTATTATGTCACTGATATATTCCTTCATTGTCCTTTTTTGCTATTACATGTCACAGATATTCATTCATGGATCTTTTTTGCTTGGATATGATACAAGATTCATTCATTGTCATGTTTTCCATTATCCAACCATATATTCCTTGATTGTAAAAACTCCTGTCATTATGTTATCACAAGTAACTCATTTGCTGTCCTGTTTTGCCATTATATGTCAACAGGTGCAGATATCATTGTCCTAGATGCAAATTTTAAAACACCATATTCATTCATTTTCCTGTTTTGCCAGGAAGAAGTCAGACATTGGATCATGTCCCATTGTGCTGATTTGGCTGGCTCCAGAAAAGGGTAGTTTTGAATTGACACTGGTAGTTGTAACCTTCAGGTTACAGAAAGCAGTGGCAAACTACTGCATGTAAAATGTCCTATCATATGTGTTCATAGTGCTGTAAAACTTGAATGCTCTTTTGGTTCTGAACATGCACATATAAAAGATGCTCATGAAACCGAATTAAGGCTTAGTATTGGAAACTATAGATTTGACCATTCAGCCTGCTATCAGAAATCTGCTACCAACATGGCTGTATTGTCTAGTTAAAATCTTGTGTTCAGAAATCGTGGGGTTGGTTCTGCAATGTCTTTTAAAGGATATGCTGCTAATTAAAATCAATTACTGGTTTATATAAAAGCCAGACTAGTGGTTCCTCGCCTCTCAGCCAGATAAACCCCAAATTATCGAAGCTCTGTGACATGCTTCTTGCAGAGAGGGTGGACTAGGGTAGTACTTATCCCCCTGTCTAATAATGAGTGCCCTGATTATAACTTCCATAAAAATTTGATCATAGGTATATCCCTTTAGGTGTACATTATGGACACAATCATTTTTGAGACCATTAAAGTATAAAACTACATCCTTCCCATCCAACCACCATTAGCATTTGGTTTTTAAAAGTTCTACAAGTATTGCTGTACCGAAAAGTGCTTCGTATGCGCAATCGATGCCGAATAGTGGACCCAAAACTATGCAGATATCGGCCGAATAGTTGCAAACCAAAAATACGAATAGTGCACTTTTCACAACCGATCACAGAGGAGTGGAAAATTGGAACATCAAGAATTTGCCCTGTTTTACTGGCTGTGAAAAGGGTTATTTTTGTTGCAGGGGAGTTAAACCTTCAGGTTTCGACTTGATTTCTTTGGAGTGGAGTGAACTCTTCAATGATTCCATGAAGTAATGTGTTGATAGTGCTCATTAAAAAGGTTCAACTGTTTTTGGTCTCTGAACAGCACATACTTTTCCTTTTCATCGAAACGGCAAATGATTGTGTTCTGTTGTTTGATATTTCTTTGTTGGCCGCCCGGCATCAGGTTTCTGAGCTCGCCAAGTGGCTGGTCCACTGTAAGGACGGCATGTGTTCAGCATTGATACTTTTTATTTTTGTTTTTGATGTTTCGCCTTGCTAAATAAAATCATTTTGACTCTCTGTATCTGTTAGCAGACTGTTGGTTCCTGGCCTCTCAGGCAGATGCACCCCAAATTAGTCAACGTCTATGACATGCTTCTTGCAGAGACAGTGGATCTATTATCCCCCTTTCTAATAATGAGGCCCTGGAACTTACATAAGGGAATTAAACAATAATTGTATACGCAGATTGTGGTAGGCATAATCGTACCATGCCAGCCGGATAGCACATGATGATGATGATTCACTATTCGTATTCAAACGAATAGTTGTAACAAGGGCATTAGCAATAGTGGTCACTATTCGGTACAGCCCTAATTTTGTATGCATTCTTAGTGACTCGATGAACATGCTTAAAAAAATCCAAGCTGGATTTATCAGGCAAGAATGGATTGCAACACTAAGCACTTCACGAATAGCTGCCCTAACCTTCATCTTTGTGCCAGGTCATGCGGGTATTCAAGTGAACGAGCGTGTAGATTATCTTGCGAACACTGTGGTTGCTATGGCTGGCCCAGTACTGGACAGAAGTGATGTTATCAATTATTCCATATCTCTGTCTAGACTGATGGACATGGGAATGCAGCCTGGAGTTGCAAGAAATAAACATTTCACTAAGAGGACAAGACGTTTCATTAACCAATACAGAACAGGCGTCATCGGCCGTTTTACACTTGTGGAGCTTTTGAGGAGGAGATCGGAGCACCTATGGGTCTGTCCTGAGTGCTGTGATGATAATCCTTTCTGATAACTAATCACAGTGTTCTCTCTATGTCTGACTCCTGAAACAAATGCTCAGATTTATAGTAAACCAAGATTTTTGTTGTTTATCCACTTCTGGGGACTGGCCATGTTCCAAAAAAGAACATCACATTGACATCAATTCTACCAATCTGGCATATTTGTGTGCAGATTTTGGTTACTTGCATTTCAGACAGATTCACTAACACTGTGAGTGAAACTTTGATACTACTGATACCGGCCAGGCTCCCGGTTGGAGTCTGTTTTTAATTAAAAGAGTTAATGTTTTCTTTATGTTTCCAGGCAAATGTGCTTTTGAGCCTGTCTATTGTGGCGCAGGAACATGTTCAACAAATGATATGGGCAAACATTTCTGTACGTGTACATCAGGGACATTTGGGTCTGCATGTGAGCAGCGAGAAGCCGCTGGTGGGTTGTTTACCACGTAACATTTTTTTTTTGTTGCCAGATAAAATACAAATGTTTTGTTGAAATGGTGATGGTATTATTTTACCATAAAAATAGTTTTTGCATCAGACTGATAGGATGGCTTCAGCGTTATGTAGTGTTTGATTAAGTTTGTCCCCTCAGAGCTGCTACCTAAAGGTTTACTATACCATTGAGAGATTAAAAATTCTACTCTGGATGGTAGGCTAACAAGGTAGATCCCAATTACCCTCTTTAACATGATACCCTCTTTAACATGCTACCCTCTTTAACATCTAATGTGTGGATAAGTACAATTTTATAGCGCAGCCTTAACATAAGATTTCTTCTTCTATGCCTCCTCCTCTAGGTTCTGTTCTGTCTTTCAGTGTCATGTTGTGAAGAGGCAACTGGAGGGAGCCTTGGTGTATGCTGCGTGGATGCTGGTATTCACAATCTCAGATATGCCTTGTACCCATCACTTTCAGGGGCAACCTCTACTTCTGCCTCTGTTGTGTCTGACATTGCTCTCTGTGAAACACTATATCTTGCCACATGTCTGAATCATCTAATATGTTGTCTTGTGGTGTAGTTTAGCACTGGTTGCATCCAACTTTGTTTCCAGATATTGCTATTTTTGATCTTTCTCATGTTGTTGCTTTTAGGACTTAAAGCTACAGGTAGATGAGGTGGCTTAAACATTAGATAGGTGTGGGTTTGAATATCAGTTAAATCATCATCATCATCAGGTGCTTTGCCGACTGGCGTGGGCGATCATGCCTCTCCATAATCTGCGATCTCCTGCAGCATGCATCAGTTCGTGTGCCGACACACCTCCATGCCATGCAACGAGACTGTCAAGCATCTTCTCTCGTTGTCTTCCTCTATCTCTCCTTCCACATATCTTTCTAGTGGTCACAACATGTTCTATTTTCCCTCTTCTCATAACATGGCCAAAAAATGATGACTGTCTCCTTCTGATGTCTGTGATAAGTTGTTTTCAGACTCCCGCCTCTTTCAAAACCTCTTGGTTGCTCTTTTTGGCTGTCCAAGATATTCTAAGCATTCTTCTGTAAAACCACATCTCAGAGGCCTCCAGAAATTGTTTGGCCTGCCTACTGATTGCCCAGGATTCACATCCATATGTTAAAACTGGATGTATGTAGCAAGCAAGAATTCTTTTTCTAACTCTCAATTACAAGGATATATTGCACAAGATGTTTTTCATTTTATAAAATGCAGTTTTTGCCTGTCCTATTCTATTTCTTATCTCAGTTATGCATCTTCCATCTAATGTTATCCATGTGCCCAGATACTTAAATTTCTGTACTTGTCCTAAAATAAAACCATCAAGTTAAATAGGGTGATTTAAACATTAGATCGATGGGGTGACTTAAACTTTGGATAGATAAGGTGGCTTAAACATTAGCTAGATGGGCCGCACAAACATTAGACAGAATGGGGGGGGGGATGGATTAAACATTAGCTAGATGCAGGGTGGGGGTTTAAACATTAGCTAGATGCGGGGTGGGGGTTTAAACATCAGATAAATGGGGCAGGGAGTGGGGATT